CCCGACAGATCTCAACCCGCCTGACGCAGCCAGGCCTGGCGAGCCGCGTGACTCACATCAGTCCAGCCCGCAGAAAAGAACCAGGACACAAAGTTATGCAAGAGTTAAGAGCAGAGTATCCTTCCTGCAGCCAGAGGCCTGAACTCTGGGGTCCAGGCAAGTGGGACCTGCCTCTCAGCCTGACATGTTGTCCTGTCTCAGCGAGGACAGCTCGATGGAACCATGCTATGTATTGGGAAAACAGTCTTTTCCAACACGAGGGCTGATTGAGAAGCGTCCTGGGCATTGGGTGGCTGAAATAGTGGCTCCTGGCTCTCTGTGAGCGTGGGTAGTGTCCTGCCACGTGTCACCTCAGTGGTAATGGGAAAAGGTGAGTTTAAGAACTGGCTGGAATCTCAGCTTTCAAAAGTAATTAGAAAGCTGGCTGAGTTGACTTAGGCCAGGATGTCGAGCCCCTTGAGAGAACGAACCCGGTGTTGGGTTGTAACTCCCTGGTGATGAGTGGAGATTGTTTATTACAGTGATGCTCAGTCTTTCTCTTGGGACCTCAGTGTCCACATATGTATGACAGGGGTAATCATACTACCTTCCTCCGAGGGGTTTTGTGAAGGTGAAATGATTTAATAGCTGTAAAGTGCTTAGCACAGGCCTAGCATACAGTCAGCTCCATGCGTGTTCATTGTGATTTTATGGAACTGTTTAAAGTGAAAACGCCTCCATTCACGTTCCTTTCAGCATGCCATGGTCATTGATTCTCGGAATTCTTCCATCTTGCCAAGAAGAGGCGCTTTGCTGAAAGTTAACCAGGTAGTGTTCTTCCCCCATAACCTCTGCAGGGCTCGGGACCGGCAAGGGGTGGGAGGTCACGCAGAGCGTTCACATTTGTGATGTAAAACTTGGTCCTTTAATTGTGGGAATTATTCTGGAATTGCTGGCAAGGACTGTCAGCTCTTGCTGTCTGGGCTTCCAGCTCTGGAATTGCCCCTGCTCCCTGGGTTCGGCTTGTGCTGTCACAGAACCCAGGGTGGGGTAGCTTGTGGCATCTTTGATGGTGGCACTGATAGGCCAGGAGGAGAGTTGTGGTTTGGTGTGAGTGGTTTCCTTGGTTACCTGTGAGAGAGCACCTGAAGGCATAGATTGTCCCTTGATACCTGTAGGGGCAAGTCAGGTGATAGGGGGGCAGGCCTGGGGGAAGACTTCACTGCCTTAAAGAAACATGCTCCGTGCTCCTCTGACGGCTTTGAAGCATGCTTTTGGTGTGTCTTTCGCTTTCCCTCTTTTGTTGGAGGCCAGGGTGCAGAGACCCCATTTTCTCTTGAAAGATTGACAGCAGTGTAAGTACAGCGGGGTCTCCTGACCCCGCTGCAGGAGACAGTTGGGGGCAACAGGGCTGTGATAAACCTCGAGGTCCCTGCCCTGAGCCCTGCCCTCGCTCTGGCCAGCGGTTGGGTTTCCGTCGTGCAGGGCAGAAGCCTGGGTGCCTCATCTTCAGTTTCAGAAGAGCAACTAGAAATCAGATTTTTATACAAAATGTCCCAAATTGTGAGAGGCTGGCTAATTTTTTTTCCCAAACCCTGATTAAGCTAACAAGCTGTGTCACCCGTTGTGAGCTCTGTGATGGAACTGGGGTGACTGGTGTTTGCCCTTTGTGACAGGAATGACTTCCCCTGCAGCACCAAGTCTCTGTTTCTGTCAGTCCCCGTTACCATGTGCAACAGCTAGATACAGCTTCTAGGAGACAGTGTGTTCTGTTGTCTTTTAAAAAATAAGTGACAACAAAAAACAAACAAAAAACCATTATTTAATAACCCCTGTAATAAATCTGTGTATTCCCTGTGACCTGAGGAATCTCTTCCCACAGGAGCTGGCTGGGTACACCGGAGGGGACGTGAGCTTCCTCAAAGAAGATTTTGAACTTCAGTTGAATAAACAATTCGTACTTGATTCAGTGAGTATCTAAGCCAAAACAGGTACCTGCGTAGTCATCCCTCATTTTTTTGGAATCTTATCCGAAAATCTGAGTTCCTGAGTAGCTAAAGCATTTACGTGGACGCTGAGTAGTAATGCTTTAAACTGCAGTGCTCAATCCTTTAAATTCAGCCAGAATTGAAGACGCTCTGGGGAGGAATGATAATTATTTCTGTAAAAAGTAATCTGTTCATCAGTGCAGGGCCATGGGAGAGCCCCTCCCGGTTACCATCTCAGGGCCCCCCGAGGTGTGGCTCGAGGAAGCGGAGTGTCTCCCTTCCCTCCTGCATGGGCGTTCTGAGCTTCACCTCGTTTTGCTGGAGCCGCAGGGCTCTGGGTGCTTTCAGATTTTTTTTTTAATCTTTAGTCCAGTTTGGCTAGTTTCTTCTGATTCACTGAGGAGTCAGTGACCAGATTCTGATCTAGCCAGCAGAGCCCCAGGCTAGAAGGACACCTGGCCTCAACTCTTCCCAGTGCCAGGGTGGCTGGGGCAGCTCTCTCCCCACCGCTGCTGCCTGGGCCCTCATCTGCCCTAAAACGTGGGAGCCTGGAGTGAGTGTTATGGAAATGGCCATGCAACTGTTTCTAGGCAGCTTATTTAAAAATAATATGTTGCTGTTCCTGTTGAATCCTTGATTCATTGCACTTTGAACCTGGCCCCTGCCTTCCGCCACCCCTGCCATTCTGAGGCTCCCTGTTGCCCGGTGCAGTGAGCTCATTCCAGTCGCTTCCATGGCCCTCGACACTTGTCTTCCCACTCGTTTTTCTCATTTTCTCTTTCTTGGTTTCCTTGACTCAATCATTGTTGCGTTCTCCTGGCACTCTTCACTTTCTCTGTAAAAACGGAGGACTGTCTGCTTCGTGGGTATGGCTTGCACCTGATTCTCTGTGGTGTCCCCACTCTGCTGTTCTTGCAGACGAGCCCCAGCCCTGTGGCTGCAACTGCAGTCTGGCCCGTGACTCCTGAGGCCCACCTGGCTCTCTTTCTCAAGCCCAGACTTAAGTGCTCCCCAGTGTTTTGACTCTGTGCACAGACACCTCAAGTCAACGTGTCTAAAACAGCTCAGCAACCTCCCTCCTGAAATCTGTACCTGTGCCTGTGCTCCCAACGCCACTAGCTGGCACGGCATGGCCCAGCTGCCCTTGAGCTCCCCACCCTCAACTGCCCTAAGTCCTCCCCCTCAAAGCCACCGCCACGCACCCGGCCCCTGTCTGCTCCCTGCCAGTGCTGCCTGCTGCCCTTCCTCACTGCCCTTCCTCGTAGCAACCCCTCTCAGTTGGCTCTGCTCCTCTCCTCACCACGCTCCATCCCCCTGCCCCTTCTGCACTGCAGACATTAATTTCTTTCTTTTTCTTTTTTTTGAGACAGAGTCTCGCTTTGTTGCCCAGGCTAGAGTGAGTGCCATGGCGTCAGCCTAGCTCACAGCAACCTCAAACTCCTGGGCTCAAGCGATCCTCCTGCCTCAGCCTCCCAAGTAGCTGGGACTACAGGCTGCACCACCATTGCCCAGCTAATTTTTTCTATATGTATGTTAGTTGGCCAATTAATTTCTTTCTATTTATAGTAGAGACGGCGTCTCACTCTTGCTCAGGCTGGTTTCGAACTCCTGACCTTGAGCAATCTGCCCGCCTCGGCCTTGTAGACATTAATTTCTGAAATGCAAACTGGACCTTATCGCTTTCCTTCTTTTAGGGTGCGTGTGGCCCTTCGACCGTTCTTTTCAGTCCCTTTGTCCTCAAGCTTTGGCTCTGTGAAAATACTTCACGTCCCAAAAGGACCGTCTTCGCTGGCTGTAGCTCCCTTTCCCAGCTATTCACCTGGCCTCCTGTTCCCTGCCTCTAAGACGTCAGCACAGACCCTGTCCTGGAAGCCTTCTCTAGCCTCCCACGCAGGGCTGGGGCTCCTCCACTGTGCTTGTATCTCTTGTGCTTATCTCGTGGTAGGTAGTACCTGTTCATCACCCATTCACCAAGCCACCCACCCTTCCATCCATCCACCTGTCTCACCACCCATCCATCCGTCTCCACATCCATCCATCCAACACTTGTGTGCTGGCCTCCAGGCACTGTCTGGGCGTTAAGAATACATCAGGAATAAAACACGCTTCTTGCTTTCAAGGCACTTTTACATGCTAGAGAAGGGAGACCTACATGCTGATATATTTATATGTAATCTAGGAGGTGGTGGTAGGTGTTAAGAAAAGTACGGCAGAATAAAGGGGTGGACAGTAACCAGTAGAGGGTGCTGTTTTATTAGGATGGCCAGGGAAGGCTCTGACAAGGCAGCATGGGAGCAGAGCCTGAGACAGAGTGAGGGAGCCAGCCAGGGGCCCTGGGGCAGGCGCACTGGCCCTGGGAAGGAGCAGGGTGCGGAGCAGCGGTGGGGAGGGCTGCTCCCTGGGCCGACTGTGGCACTTAGGGGCAGCAGTGGGGGGAGGCCAGGTTCCTCCAGAGCATCAGGACCACCCATTCCCTCCTGTTCCCCGTCTCGCTGCGGCACACGTGGAGCAGGTGAGCCCTGTGGGTCCCGCCCCCGGTGCTCTCCGAGCTGGGGTGGAGTTGAACCCATCAGAATAGAGTGTTGGGCTTGGCCTGCTCTCCCACTCGCCGTTCTGGCTTTTATCCGTAATCCTTCCTACTGAAGCTTCTGGAAAGAACCATCTGAGCAGCTTTGAAGGACGCAGAGATTTGCAAGGCAGAGGGAGCCTGGCGGCCGGCTTAGCCACAGCAGGGCAGCGAGAGTGTGGAGTGTAGGGGGCCGGGAGAGCCTCGAGTGGCCGAGGATGCTGTCGAGTAGGTTTTGTGGCGTGAAGATTGGGCCGCGGAGCCCTGTGAGAGAGAGGGCTTTGCCCCCAGGGTGGGCCGCAGTGTGCGTCTCTGCATTGTGTCATCGCAGGGGTGTCGTAGCCTGTACCTTCTCTCAGCCTAAAATGCCGTGTGCCCTTAATCCCCACGTTTTGCCACAACCAAGAGGCCTGGGCAGGTGCAGAATCGCTTGTCCAGAGTCGGGGCTCCCTTGCTCATCAGGCTGCGGCTTGTCCTGTGGGCTTTGCCCTGGTCGCAGAGGGCGGAGCTGCCATGGGGCAGAGGGCAGCCGTGCCCGCTTGCCCTTAGTGTGTCTGTGTCTGGAGTTCCACGTTGCCGTTAGGAGAGAGGCCATATGACACCTTCAGCTGCACTAGCCAGGTGTCCTCCTCCTGGGGCCCTGGTACCCGGTGCTGACACAGCTCTGTGCACCACAGGCATTCTGCACGTGGCCGGTGTTCCAGTTGCTGATGCTCATGGGGACCAGAGGAACACTGGACGGAAACAGCTGTTTGTTTATATTTGAACAGGTTGTCTCAGCGTCTCTCTGGGGTGGAATGTTGGTGCCCATTGGTGACAAGCCGTCCAGTATTGCTGACAGGTGAGTAATAATAAACGGATGGGTAATCTGCAGATGTTTCCTTCAGAGCTTTTTGGTTGGTTTCTTACAAGATATTTTACAGAATTTTATTCAGGAGGGCAATATTCCAAATTTTACTTTAGTTCTTATGTGTAAGCTGATTTAAAAATATCCAATATACTACATACTTAAGTTTTTTTTGCTTTTTGTCAGGGGGCTACTTACTTTATTGTATTTAAAAATTTGTTCACTTTTGATTAGGAAAGAATACAGTTCATGCTCATTGCAGAAATATAAAAGTAGAGAGACATTTAATGAAGAAAAAAAACCTCAGTCCTACTCAGTGTTAAGCAGAGTTAACATTTGGGCCTAATTCCTTTTAGTTTGTTTCTAGTAGTTGTGTGTCTGTGTATGTATATATACTTACATATATGTCTATTAAGTTGTTAATATACTATATTTTACATGCTATTTTGTGTCCTCCTTCCTTCCTTTTAAAGAAATTACAGTGTAATCATTCACCACGTCATGATTGTTAGAAATTCTTCCTAAACAATGTTTTAATGACATATAATGTTTCTTGCATATACTATAACTTTTTAGCCTACCTCATATTTTTGGATATTTTAGTTATTTCTAATTTGTGATTTTTATAAGTAACAATGTGAATAATAACTTTTTAAAGTTACATAACTTTTAAAATAATTTGTTGGTAATTGTATTTTCTGTAAAGAGATTCCTAAATGTGGAGTTACTAACTCAAAGTAAGGCTCCTAATAGTGCTGCATCCTGCCTTTGGAAACCTTATAGCAATTTACACCCTTACCAGCAGGGCGCGATGTTGTACTTGTTGCTTTGAAATACTAATATCATTGTCCTCCAGGACAGGAAACTTTTTCTTCAATCCTGCATTAGTGGAAATGTCGTTTTAGCTTAAACTGGTTCAGCCTTTTTATTTTTTATTTTTTTTGAGACAGAGTCTCACTTTGTTGCCCAGGCTAGAGTGAGTGCCATGGCGTCAGCCTAGCTCACAGCAACCTCCAACTCCTGGGCTCAAGCAATCCTGCTGCCTCAGCCTCCTGAGTAGCTGGGACTACAGGCATGCACCACCATGCCTGGCTAATTTTTTCTATATATATTAGTTGGCCAATTAATTTCTTTCTATTTATAGTAGAGACGGGGTCTCGTTCTTGCTGAGGCTGGTTTCGAACTCCTGACCTTGAGCAATCCACCCACCTCGGCCTCCCAGAGTGCTAGGATTACAGGCGTGAGCCATTGCGCCCGACCTGGTTCAGCCTTTTTAGGTGGCCTTTTGGAAATATAAAACTTCCAAAATTTTTAAATTTGTGAACTTTTCACCTAACAGTTTCACCTCCCTGAATCTAACTTACAAAAATACTTTTTATAAGCGTACAAAGATTTATATGTACAAGGATGTCCATCATAGCATTGTAGATAAATAGCAAAAAAGTTAAAACTGCCTTATATAAGTCCACCTGTAGGAAAACAATATTAATAAATTCTAACACAACCATTCTTAAGGAAGACTATGCAATTATTAAAAATAATGAGATAGATGTCCATAAGTTAAAAAATTTACATATGAACATTTAGTTGATCCTCCTCTGATTACACGACAAAAGTGTGTAGGTGTGTGTTGGCAGGTGCAGCACTGAGGGTCTAGCAAGTTGGCCACCGTACCAGGGGCTGACGGAGGGGGACTGGGAAGAACCTTTTCATTCTTTTTTTTCTTTTTTTACCTTTGCTCTGAGGCATGAAGAACCTTTTCATTCTTTTTGTGCTTTTGAATTCTTTCAAAAGATTTATCATATTTTTTTAAAAATGGAGCCTGCTGTTTGTTTCTGTAATTAACATTAATGGGTTAGTCAGAAAAACTTTGCTGAGAAATCCTAAATAGTAAAGTTAAAATGAATAAACTCAAAGGTTTTATCTGGCAGGAAAATCAGGAAAAACAGCACTCTGTGCCCTTTGTGCCGTCCTCTTAGCAGTGGAGTGGCATCGTGGGTGGTCAAGAGGCCTAGGGTGTCACTGGTCATTAGCCCGCCCCTCAGCATGCCAGAAAGATTACACACAAGTTTTCTTGTCATTCTGATTCATTTTTTAGTAACTATCACAATCTAAAATCAGGTTCTAACGTGCTGTGCAATTTTTTAGAAAGTAGATGGGATTTCTGAGTAATTTTTAATTCACGATTTTCATGAATTAAATTATGGTTAGGGTTAATTAGGGTCATGCTTTTTATTCAGATATGATTCAAAAGAATGTGATAATCCAGTCCATTAAGGAACGCAAGAGGAATTGATTTTTAAACATTGTTTTTTTCTAATTAAAAATAGTGGAAAAAATGTGGAAAATACAGAAACATTTAAAATAACGATAATTCTATTTTGATCTACTTCCTTCTAGTATTATTCCCCTCTGCCCCTTTTGTAATATTGGGCTCATACTATTAAATAATTTATATCCTGCCTTTTTAACTACATTTTTTTTGCACGGGGAGCGTATAGGGGCCCTGTCTGAGAAGGGACTGCGTAGTGTTACAGTGGACACTTCCATCCCTCTCTTCTAAGTGTCTGTCTTTGTGCCTTGTGTCTCACTGCATCTCCAAAGGTCTGAAGCACCTGTTTAGATTTTAGTTTGGATTTTTAGGTTTTTATGAAATTCACCATACTGTGCATCTTACTTATATTTTCTTAAATGTTTTGCCACGTGAAGGTGAGTTCGATAATCCAGTCTCAAATGTGAGTGATCTGTGCTTTCAGTGTGTTGTGTAGTTTTGTCACCTAATGACTTTCTTCTGACATGTTTTTGTCTCAGGTTTTACCTTGGGGGACCGACCAGTGTCCGTGGCTTCAGCATGCACAGCATCGGGCCGCAGAGCGAAGGTCTGTCCTTCCCGGGTAGTCTAAGTCTCAGTGGTGATCACGGCTAAGTTTTGAAACCATGTATTTGTTTACATTACAACAATAATAGATGCTCATATTTCACAAAGGTGGAATTAGCACCTAGCCAAGCATTTATCAGATAGCAGTCATGAAATATTTATTGGCAGAATTGTAGAAAAACATATCTAAGCAAAAAATATATGAAAATGACCTGCAGTCCTGCCACCCAGAGAGAACATGTGTGAATATTTTGTTGCATGTTCCCTTCAGGCTCTAAATGTACATATCTTTCTACTCTTTGTTTTATTTTGTTTACATATTAATTTTTAACTTATTTCTTTCCCCACCCCTCCTAATAATGTTAATAGTATATTTCTATGGGAATCAATTCTTTATACTTTTTAACAGCTACATATTTTATCTTATTGACATACTATAATTATATTTTAATTAATAGACTTTTTTTTTTTTTTCTGAGACAGAGTCTCACTCTGTTGTCTGGGCTGGAGTGCCATGGCATCAGCCTAGCTCACAGCAACCTCCAACTCCTGGGCTCAAGTTATCCTCCTGCCTCAGTCTGCCAAGTAGCTGGGACTATAGGCATGTACCATGACACCTAGCTAGTTTTTTCTATTTTTAGTAGAGATGGTGTCTTGCTCTTGCTCAGGCTGCTCTTGAACTCAATAGACTTTATTTTTAAGAGCAGTTTTAGGTTTACAGAAAAATTGAGCATAAAGTAGAGTTCCCATATACCACCACCGTCACTCCGCACCCCAGCCGCCTCTAGAATTAGCATCTTGTACTAGGGTGGTACATTTGTTACAGTTGACCAAACAATATTACACATTATTAACTCGAGTCCATGGTTTACCTTAGGGTTTTACTCTTTGTATTCTATGCTTTCCAAGCTTTCACAAGTGCATAATGTCATGCACACGGCATTGCAGTGTCACACGGAGTCCTCAGAGTCCCTTTGCCCCTCCTGTCCCCCATTTTGTCTCTCCTACCAGCCGCAGGTCTTTCTTACTGTCTCCGTAGTTTTGCCTTTTCCTGAATGCCATAGAGTTGGAATCACATAGTGTGTAGTGTTTTCAAATTGTCTCCTTTTACATAGTAATGTGCATTTAAGGTCCCTCCTTGTCTTTGAGGGTTTTGAGAGCTCATTTCTTTTTATTGCTGAATAATATTCCGTTGTCTGGAATACAAGTTTGTTTATCCATTTGACTCCTGAAGGACATCTTGGTTGAGTGTTTGGCAACTATGAATAAAGCTTCTATAAACATTTGCGTGCAGGTTTTTGTGTGGACATAAGTTTTCAGATAGTTGGGTAAATGCCAAGGAGCACAGTTGCCCTGATCACATGGTAAGATGATGCTTACCTTCGTAAGAAACTGTCTGACTAGCTTCCAAAGAGGCTGTACCGTTTTGCATTTTCACTAGTATTGAGTGAGAAAGATAAATACCTTATTGTCTTAACAGCTACATATTTTATACTATAGTTTTTTTTTAAACCAAATCCCAAGTTTTGGACATTTAGTCTGTGCTGTTATTATTATTATCATTATAAAACTAAGTCTTCTAACTGAATCTTTGTGTTCATCTATAAGTCTTACTTTAATATAAAGTTCTAGATGTGGAACTTCTAGGTCAAAGGATTTTGAGTATTTTTGAGGCTTTATCTTGCTCTCTAGAAAGGTGGTTTCAATGTTCTCCCTCCAGCAGTGTGGAGATTCCTGAAACCCTCTCTGACGCTTGACGTCATGTCAGAGGTGTCGCCACACGATAAAGTTTTAAAACTTTAAAAACGTCAGTTAAATGGCTGCATATTATTCCATCATAAAATATTCTACCTTGATTTTCTTAAATGTTTTAGTGTTTATTGCTTCCATTTTTATATCATTATAAACAACGACCAAACTCTGTAAATTTTTGTGCAAAGTAATGATTATTCCTTTCACTTGTTTTGATAGTGCTTCATTAGAGTGTACTTTTTTTTAGAAAAGGAACAATTTTTTGATAGTTTTCTTCTTTTATTATAAGCAAGTATGATATGGTGACTGTATGAAGGTTTAGAAGTCTTCACTTGGCTGAAAAGCAAAACACTGATGTTCCACATGTTCGCTATCAAAGAGGCGACTGGCAAGATTTTGTGGGCAAGGATGCAAGTTTCTGTAACTTTTCATGAAAACAATTTGATCTATTGAGAGCTGTAAAATATGTGTGTGTGTGTGTTATTATTATTAATACTATTAATGATAGCCCCATGCTGGACACTGGAGACTCAAATGCCCATCAAGAATAGGATGGGCAGATAATTAGTGGCCTCTCCCACTGTGATGAAGAACAGATCGTAGCTATGGCTGAATGGTGGTGTGAATGAATCTCAGGAACATGTTGTGGGGGAGAAAAAGAAAGCCAGACCCAGAGGAATGCCTGCTGTGTGATTCCGTTTGACTTCAGTGTGGAGACAGGCCAAACCAGCCGGTGGCTGTGCTTGGTGTGGGTGGCGGGTGGTGACCAGAAGGGAGCATGAGGTCCCCGTGCTGGTCGTGTTCTGGTCTCCATCTGGGTGCTCCTTACACAGGCGTGTGTGTGTGTGTGTGTGTGTGTGTGTGTGTGTGTGTGTAGGTCCATTGAGCTGTACACTTGGCACGTGTGTACTTTTCTATGCGTGTGTTTGAGTGAGCGTTCAAACAAGTGCGTGTGCAGGGACACTCGTCATAGGTTAGTGTCCACTATGAAGAAGTTAGAAACCACTGTGATAATAGGGGAGAAATGGATAATTAAATTTTGGTACATCTATGTTATTATTCAGGCATAAAAATGATATTTTCCAAGAACATAAGAGAAAGTGCTTATGATATATTAAAACTGAAAAAAGTGCAGCATTTAAAATTTATATATATTCATATGTAAATGAGCCACATTTTATTTACTTATTTAATTGTACATTATAGGTTATAATTCACTGGAAAAAAAAACACCAGGATGTTCGCTGTTTATCTCTGAATGGAAGAAATTAAATATTTTCCCTTTTTTCTCTATTTCTGTATGTTGATCAGATTTTCTAAAGTGAGCATATTACTTTTATGATTAGAATACAGTAAGTTATTTAAGGAAAGATAGGGGGCAGTTTCTGGGAAACAAAACCACAGTTTGTGTGCTATTATTTGTCCATTCTTTGTTCCCTTTAGAACTTCAGTTTTTTTTTTTTTTTTTTTTTTTGAGACAGAGTCTCGCTTTGTTGTGTAGGCTAGAGTGAGTGCCGTGGCGTCAGCCTAGCTCACAGCAACCTCAAACTCCTGGGCTCCAGTGATCCTTCTGCCTCAGCCTCCCGAGTAGCTGGGACTACAGGCATGTGCCACCATGCCCGGCTAATTTTTTATATATATATCAGTTGGCCAATTAATTTCTTTCTATTTATAGTAGAGACGGGGTCTCGCTCTTGCTCAGGCTGGTTTTGAACTCCTGACCTCTAGCAATCTGCCCGCCTCGGCCTCCCAGAGAGCTAGGGTTACAGGTGTGAGCCACCGTGCCCGGCCTGAACTTCAGTTTTAAGAGGGGTTAAGTAGACAGGTTGCCAAAGTCTTTAAATGAATCAACTGTTCATTCCTTGAGGTTAATCTTGGAGACATCCAATATTTTTCTTTTCCATGGTCTGTCATTTCATATTAGAGAAGACTAAGACTTTATAAATAGTATTTTGCAACAAAGTATAAACATCAGGGTTGGAGGATTTTTTTTTGTTACTTTGATGTTATGGCTATATATGGTTAAAATGGAATGGATGGGAGCATTTTTAGAAATAATGCAAATATATTCTCTTGGTGGATAGTCTTGAATTTTAGCAAAAGTAACCTAAATCCAAGTGGTCATGAACCATTAAAAAATAGTCTTTTCTCTAGACACTGAGCTGGAACACTGTTTGTCTGTGCAGCGGGTGGTGGACACTCTGTGCCTTTTGATTAATGGTGTATGTGACTGTTTCCAGAAACTACAGAGACATTTTCTGCATTTTGTCTCTCTATATTGTGGTCTTGGAGATTTTGCAAAATAATGCATATCATCTATCAGGTAGAAGTGATTTGATAATCTGCATTTGTGGATAAAACAATTTTCATGAGATTCACTTCTTTTATTCTAAGCATTTTACAGCTTTGATAAATTACTGAGTTTATTCTTTCCGTAACTACGTTGGCTTCCCACGCCCCTCAGTTAAATCTAATTGTAAAACAAACCAGGAGAAAAAGAAAGAGATGATTTAAAATCAGGCCAGCAACATGAGGTGTTAAAGGAACAACTAGCAACGAAACTTGAGCACTGTGGGTGTCGTGCATAGGACATAGGTCTTGCTTCTGTCAGTTGTGGAGAGTTAATGTGATTGTAAGTTTGTTGACCTTGTTTTGCTCTGTCTTCCTCCCTGGATTAGGAGACTACCTTGGTGGAGAAGCATACTGGGCCGGTGGCCTGCACCTGTATACCCCATTGCCCTTCCGGCCAGGCCAGGGCGGCTTTGGAGAACTTTTCCGAACACACTTTTTTCTCAACGCAGGAAACCTCTGCAACCTCAACTATGGTAAAGCTTGCACTATTAGGGAAACCATTATAGTACAGTAGTTTTAATGTTTAACAGCCTAGTACACAAATACTTATTTATCTTTTTAGATTACCTAGTCTATAATTTTAGAGATTGTACCTTACTTTAAAAAATGTTTTTATAACACCTAATATAGTGCCCAGAATTAAGTTGTTGGTTGAATGAATGAAGCATGTAAGAAAAATAATCATCAATCATACTTTGTTCTTACGAAGTATTTATTCAACAAACATTTCCTGAGCATGTACTATATACCAGTTGTTGGGGCCACAGAGCTGAGTAGGATTGGGTGCCTTCCTCAGGGAGCTTAGGTCCAGAGGAGAATCACAGCAGCTGTATCTAGCTCAAGGTGCCTCCAAAGCTTCATATAAGACAAGGCCCTTGAGCTTGGAGTGGGACTTCCCAGGCGGTCATGGGTTGGGGAAAAGCCATTCTAGGCCAAGGAAACAAAATATACTAGACCTAAAGAATTGAGAAGGCTTGGCTTATTCTGCAGTGAGTAAGTGTGGTCCCAAGCCTGCTCTTGATTTGGGTCCCAATGTCACTTCATGCATTCTCCTCGATTATCTAGGTGTAGCTTTAAAAATTACCACTGGGCACAGGAAGGGAGAGAGCCAGGGCTTATCTGAGGCCAACTGTGAAAGGATGGACCACACACTGTTGCTCACGCATCCTTCTCTTTTCAGGGGAGGGCCCCAAAGCTCATATTCGCAAGCTGGCTGAGTGCATCCGCTGGTCCTACGGCGCCGGCATCGTCCTCAGGCTTGGCAACATCGCCCGGCTGGAACTTAATTACTGCATCCCCATGGGAGTGCAGGGGGGCGACAGGTGCGTGCCGGGGATCATCTTCCACAATTCTATCACGCTCTCCAGTAATCTTATTTTGTACTGGACACGGTTGATTTCATCAGTTGTTTTTAAGGTTCAGGATTTTAAGAGAAGTAGAATAGTTAGCAAAAAGAATGAAAATACATGTATTTTTCTCCACTGGGTTTTTCTTCATCCAGTTTGGAGAATAAATGTGACATATTCCCATCCCCATCACGCAGATGCTTTGCGCTTACTGTGCCCAAGGTAGTGGGCGTCCCTCGAGGGTCTGGCTGGAAGAATTGACAAGGTGTATTGGTCTTGCATGCTGAAAATGGAATTCAGCGTTTCTGGTGGTTGACCTTGCAGGCCAGGGCCTCTGGGGAGGTTGGGGCAGCTGAGGCTTCGTGTCTGGCTGCAGAGGGCTCAGCCTAGACAGCAGAGGGACCCACCATCTTGGCCTTCCTCCTCCACTTTATTTTATTGAGAAAAGATTTGCTAAATATTACACAGATAGCTGGGCATGGTGGCTCATGCCTGTAATCCCAGCATATTGGGAGGCCAAGGCTAGAGGATCACTTGAGTCTAGGAGCTCAAGACCAGCCTGGATAACATTGTGACACCCTGTCTCTACAAAAAAATAAAAATTAAAAAAAATAATAACATGGATGAATATGGTATAAGGCTATTTGCTATTATAGAAACAAATCCTATTTCAGAAATTCAGAAGTACTGTCATTATATAGTGTGTCTCAGTCAGCTCTGGCTGCCATAACAAAATGCCATAGACTGGGTGACTTAAACAACAGACATTTATTTTCTCACAGTTCTAGGGGTTGGGAAGTCCAAGATCAAGGTGCCAGGAGATTCGGTGCTTGGTGACCTGGCTTGCAGCCTTGTCACTGTGTCCTCACGTGGTGGAGGAAGGGGACAAGCATGCACCCCAGTGTCTCTTATTAGAAGGGCTCTAATCCCACCCTGAGGGCCCACACTCATGACTTCGTTTAAACCTAATCGCCTCACAAAGATCCTGTCTCCAAATGCCATCACGTTGCGGGTTAGGACTTTAACATATGGATTTTGGGGAGACACAAACATTCAGTCCGTAACAGTGTGTGTATTGTCTCTTATTTTTATGTGTATATATTCAGTACTCCGGGCTATATTTTTTCTCTTCATTTTTGTGTCTACTCTCATGTTGCCACCAAGGGGTGGTGCTGTTTCAAACATGTTGTTGTAGTTTGTCCTCGTTTAAGGAAGTACGGTGTCATTTTTACTCCCACCGCCTTCTCCGTCAGCCTGGCAGGTGATGGGATTGTTACAGGATCACCGCGCTGGCAGGCTTTCCAGAGAGCCTGCTTACCTCCCTGGGTGCAGTTCTGGATCTGTCATCCAGGTCCTTTGGGGTTGTCACTTTAGTAGAGTCTGCTCTCGACGCTCTTCCTGGAAGGCTAATTCAGATCCACTCTGCAGCTGGGGGCCCGGCGGGGGCTGTCAGGCCGCGGTGGCTCCCTGGTGATTAGCGAGCCTTCGGGTGCCTTCACAGGTGCCAGCTCACCTCCACACCCTGCCTGTTCTCCACACAAAGCAAACACTGAAAAGGGTTTAGTCACACAGACTACATATGTGCTCCGGAGCCCAGCTGCCCAAGCTTGGTCCCAGCTTGGCCACTCTGTGGCTGTGTGACCTAGAATGAGTTACTTAGCCTCTCTGGGTCTCCATTTTCATGTCCTGAGAATGGACAGTTACAATAGTGACTATTTTGCAGTTTTGAAAACTAAATGAATCAAATGCAAGCAAAGCACCCAGAGTCTTGCCTGCCGAGTTGTCAGGAAATGGCGGTTCTTCACAGCGCTGCTGCTGCTACAGCCCCCGTGGCCAGTTCTTTAGGTATGATGGGAGCTGAGTTCCTGTAGAAGGCACTGCCCCTCGCCCTCCGCATCATCCCCGTGTGGCTGCTGCCTGGCTGTTTGTGACAGGCCACGGAGGGGATGATGTGTCCTGATTTCAGAGATAGTAAAATGTGAAAAATGTGCACCTTTCTTCTAGAGCAAGACTGTGTGTTAGATAACCCTTTAGCCAAGATTCCCAGGCCTTTGCGGTCTTCAGCGAATGAGGCTAGTTTTGCACGTTTCTTTGCATGAAGCCCCTGTTCCCACCACAGCTGGGAGTGTGGGTCTCCCCGGCTTGACAGCCAGGTGCTCACTGGAGCACCTGATCGAGTCAGGATGAGGATGTGTGGTGAGGCTGCCTGAGCCGGTACTTCTCACACCGTGCTGTGTCTCAGGATCTCCTGGGGGCCTGGGTAAAGACAGACTCAGACTCCTCCAGCCAGAGACACAAGCCCCACTGCTCTGGGGTGCAGTAGCATCCCTGTCTGCGCTGCCCCCCTGCAGTCACCGTCGTTGCAGTACTGCTTGCGGCCACTGGGTGTCAGTGTGCTCTGCAAAGTCAGCACTGATTTTAGGAGCCGCTGCCCTTTCCCGAAGAATTTTTTTTTAAAATATTTATAATCTTTTTTTTTTTTTTTTTTTTTTTTTTTTTTTTTTTTTTTTTTTTTTTTTTTTTTTTGCACCAAGATAACAGGCAGGATGAAACCTTTCTCAAAGAATTTTTTCGGAGAATGGTTACATTTACCTTTTAGCAAACATTCTGCAAACATTCACAGCGGCATTGCAAAGTTGCACAAGGCCAGCCTCAAGTACCCATGTTCTGCTGTGTCCACTGGGCTAGGTCTAGGCCCACGAGTGCCCCCCGTCTCCCTCTCTCCCCCGTCACTGCATTGGTGCAGGCCCCCTGTGCCCTCCCACCTGCCTCTGACCCAGCACCGCCAGCGTCAGCATGAGGGTGTTTGGGAAGGTCACGCTGACGGCACTCTCTGTCTTCCGGTTAAATCTGAAAAATATGTTTCAGAGACTAATTTCAAATTGTGAAAGGCGGAAGCATACTGTGCACGCGATATTTAAAGATCGGACCAGAAGGAAGCTCCTCTGGCCCCTGGCTGGGTGGCAGCTCTGTTTTGCCGTTGTGGTCCCAGCAAATGTTCACGGTGGGCAGTGAGCACCGTCACAGGGGCAGCCTGGCACCCTGGAGCGAGGAAGTCACTTTCACTCAGTGTGTGGCTTTGTTGGAAGTGTTATCATCAAGACTGGAATTTTGTGGAGTTTGATGCTGTCAGAATTAATCTTTGTTTCTAAAATCAGGCAACAGGCAGGGTGGGGGATTATGTATGTAGAAATCATCCCGAGATATGTCCCCATAGTTAATGCGGACACTGTAATTAGAAGTTCAGGCCTTTACAAGAATGGTAACAGTTCTGAACTGCTTGCTACATTTTATGTCAGGTGATTTGTGGTGCAGTTCTCTCTGGGCTCTAACAGCATTCTGTCACTGGGCGTCGTAGCAAGTGCAGTCTCGGGAGGCCAGGGACGCATCGAGCAAGCTCGCTTGGGAGAGCGGCTCACGGCAGGCAGCAGGGAAAGGCAGGAATGCAGATGGTCTCGGTTGAGGAGGGAGTTGAGAGGGCCTCCTGAGGAGCTGATACCTGAGTGGAATCTTCCAGAAGGACCGCCGAGGACTGGCAGAAGACAGGGGCAGAGCGGTGCTCCTGGAGTCGGCGGGAGCTGTGCAGGGGTGCAGGGTCGGTGGGCGGCAGAGCAGCGTCTGCAGAAGCAGAGGCAGCGCCTGGGGAGGCCCTCGGGTTTTACTTGCTCTCGTCTCCCACGCTCTTCCTTCCAGCACGCCGGCCTTTCCCCCGGGTATCTGCTGTGGCATTTGCGTTCGGGGCTTCATCTGCCCTGTGCACAGAGTCCCGAGTGACTAGAACAGCACGTGGTGGTACAAGTGAGGGCCCATGGGAGATGCCCTTGACGTACGGCGGGAGACGGGGTGCAGGGCCCCAGGGGTGCCGTCAGCGTGACCTTCCCAAGCACCCTCATGCTGACGCTGGCGGTGCTGGGTCAGAGGCAGGTGGGAGGGCACAGGGGGCCTGCACCAATGCAGTGACGGGGGAGAGAGGGGGACGGGGGGCACTCGTGGGCCTAGACCTAGCCCAGTGGACACAGCAGAACATGGGTACTTGAGGCTGGCCTTGTGCAACTTTGCAATGCCGCTGTGAATGTTTGCAGTGGGTATTTTTTTCTGTGATGTGTTCATATGGTCTCTGAACATAAACCTGTGATTGTGAAGTTGTTTCATGTTTGTAGCTAGAGTGAATTGGAATGCCTGCTTGTTTTCTGAATTTCATAAACCAACAGCTTAACTTATTTTTTAGCTCATAGCTTATTTTCAGACATTTTTCTAAGTAGTGAATGTAGGCATAGATCACTTTTACAGAGCCGATGATGTAAAATATGAAAACAAACCGTTTAGATTTGACCACAACTAAGCAGCACGAATGCAGTCAGGTTTTGGTTTGGTCCCTAGCCTTTTAAGGCTGTTGGGATGGTTTGTGCCGTCACCGTGGGTCCCAGAGGGGAGCAGACGGTGCTTCTGGTTAGGTGGCGCCTGCTGCCGCGGTTGCCGGTGGGCACCGGGGTCCTGGAAGGTCAGTGGGAGGTTAGTGATTACGTGTCTTAAGTCTCTTCGTGGATCAGATATTTAGTTTCCCTGCGCAGAGTCGGGTTGGGAAAGGAAAACTTCCTGCCAGTTTTCATACGCTACGAATCCTTGGGTCAGGTGAGGGCCGGGTGTGTTACGACGGTAGAAATGGCCATTCTCTTCTGAATGAGGAGCTGTTTTGTTGGCTGGTCTCTTCTAGAAATTCCCCACAGCTTGCAAAAATGCTGCATTCCGCAACACACTGACTGGCAGTTGTTTGGGATTCTGAATGTCATTTTCCCTGGGAAGTTTAGGTCCCTAGGTTAGGCCCACTGTGTCCCAAATATGCAGCGTGGGTCTTGCCCAAGCACAGGCTCTAGGTGGGCAGTGACCCCCAGGGCCAGGGTGCATGCACACCGTCCCAACACCAGGCTGCCCTGCAGCTGTGCGTCCCCAGCAGGGCCGAGGCAGCGCCATGTGTCGGGAAGGGCAAGGCCTGTGGGTGCTTACGAGCCGGCTCCAGAGTCCTGCCCTGTCGCTTCTCTGCTGTGCGGCCGGTTTGCTCACCAGAAGTGTTCTGTCAGCGGGTTGTCACCAGCGCACGAAATCCCACCTGCAGAGCCTCAGCTCATGGCAGGTGTTGGGACCAGGGTGACCTCTTTGCAGCCTTCCTGGGTCAGTAGCAGGTGTAAGAGGTGTCAGGCCAAAGCTCTGTGGGGCTGCGATGCTGCCGTCTTCCTAAGCCCCCAGACCTTCTGGGGTCTGGGCAGGCCTTGAGTTCTGCCCACCTGCCTGTCCCCAGCCCTCCCCTGCCTTCCTGTGCTTCCCACTCCCCTTCTTCTCTGTCCTCCCTGTTGGGATTGGGGGACATGAGGAGGTGAGGAGGGCACACTGAGTGTCTGTGGCTCCATTTCTTCCCTTCTAGAGGCCGGCTCTGCACTGCATGGGAGGCGGCGCCGGGGCGAGGCAGGCAGGGAGGTGGGCGGCGGGCGGGTGCTGCCGAGGAGATGGCAGGGCGAGTGGAGCGGGCCACAGTATCTGATGTCTCCCTTTTCTATTTCAAGGATATGCGATGGCGTCCAGTTTGGAGCTGGGATAAGGTTCCTGTAGCTGACGCCCTGCAGGAGGAGCTCTGGGACCCGGGCAGCAGTGTGTCGTCCCCGCCACGGCTGAGCGATTCTTTGCGGTCCTGGTGGGAAAGCACGTCAATAAATTGTAGAGACGCACACGCGGGTGTTGTGGGTATGGTTTGCTTTTACTGCACCGTGTCCCATGCTGGCGTTTCCCCGAGGACAGCCTGGTCCTTTGACACACACCTCCCAGACCCTCCGAGTCTCAGTGTTTGGTCCCCAAGTGCCAGGTGTCAGGCATTCAGCAGAGCGGGGGAGCAGGGAGGGTTGCTCGGCCTGCTGCGCTGGCGGTGCCAGGGGAGGCCCACGGCAGCAGGCAGGAGTCACGGTGCTGGGCGCTGAGTCACTTAAGTGAGTGTGAGTGGCATGGGAGAAATAGCCGTATTAGGGGCCCTGAGGCGAAGAGGGAAACTGGTATCTGAGACTTACAGCAGGATTAATAGGACTACTGTGTTGGTTCCTGTGGCTGCTCTAACAAGCCACCACAACCCTAGGAGCCTAAAACAACACTCGTTAACTGCCTTGCAGTCTGGAGGTCAGAAGTCCAAAATGGTTCCCACCGGGGCAACATCGAGGTGTCACTGGCAGGGCTGTGTTCCTTTCCAGGACTCGGGGAGGAAGGGTTCCTGGTGCGTGCCAGTGTCTAGAGGCCGCCCGCGCTCCTTGGCTAACGGGCCCCGCCCTGTCCTCAAAGCTAGCACCGTCCGTCCCTCTCTGCTGTCTCCTAAGGACCCTTGTGATGACATGGGCCCACCCAGACCATCCAGGATCATCTTATTTTAGGGTCAGCTGATTGACAGCCGCAATTCTACCTGCGACCTTCATTCCCCTCGTCGCGTTATGCACCACGATCCCAAGCCCGGGCGCTGGGACGGGGTGCCACATAAGCGCGTGCAGTGTTGCCGTGGTGCCCGGGAGGCCGCAGCGGGGGCGCGTTGCCCTTGGGTTCCCCGTCACGCTCAGGCCTCCCTGTAGCCTATTGTTTATGTCTCTGCCACGTGACCTCGGGATTTGAGGCCAGGGACCCACATCCCAGCTCTCAGGGCCCCCGAGGACTGTCTCGTCCTCACTGCCTGCGGGAGCTGCAGGGATTTTGCAGAGAATATGTGAGAAGAAACGCAATTTTGCCTTCCTTTTAACAGCTGGGGACAAGGGAAAATATACTTTTTTTTCCCTAAATTGTTTATTATTTCCATTTTCATATTTATGCCTTTGGCAACATAAAGCCATGTCACATTGTCGTGTTCAGACTATAAATTTAGAACAGTGCAGTCTGAATAACGAGACTCAGACACCATGACCTTTGAGAATTCATGTCCCACGTCAGTGGGGAGCCCAGAGAGCTCATTTTTGGAAAGGTACATGTTTAATCCAGCAAGTGCGAGCTACCGGGTTGCGGAGCAGCTCCTTAATTAGAGCACACCAGGTCCGGCTGCCTCCCGGCGACGCGGCGCGTTTAATTTGCAGGTGGCCCCCACAGGCTGCGCCTTCGCCAGGGGAAACGGAGACGGAGGAGGCGCTGGGTACAAATGGCAGCTCTGTTCATTCTCAGGTGGTATGAAGCGGGCAGGTAGCGATAAAGCCAGAAGCACTTAACAAAGTGCTTTCCATGAAAGCCCAGAAATAAGGCAAGCTCATTGTGGGAAGTAATTTTTCATAGCTGCTATTTTTGAGAGCTCAGACAGACAGGAAAGATGAAAAGCATAACAAATCCTCCGCGAAGCATCGCCTCGGCGCCCCGGTTCTTTGCATCTTAATGTTACTCCATTTCTTCCCTAAATACCTGGTGTTCTGGGCTGGAACAGAGTTTGGTATTTGCTTAATTAGCCTTTCGCTCTGTTCTGCGAGGGACGTGCCGTGCAGCCGGCGCGCTCGTCCTGACGGAGACCGCGCCACCTCCTTGCCAGGAGCCCGCTGGGCCAGGCGCCTTCTGTTTGTCACAGGCAGGCTCATCAGCGAGCCTGGTCTTCACGAGGCTTCCCGAAGAGCAGCCCGCCGTGGCGGGTGGCTCCTCCGTCACGTGAGTTCGTGGCGCTCTCTGTGCCCACACTGCGCCTTTTCCAAACGGTTCCACCGGCGGCGCGAGAGCCGAGCAGCGACGTGCGGCACCCAGGTGCCGTCTGCTGTCCGCAAGTCTGTGACTGGCCAGGGAGCGGACTGTCCTGCCAAGTGCCGTGTGACCGGGACTCGGGACAAACAGCCGCTGGAGATGTGCCGTCAGCCCGCGTTGTCCCCTTAGGGTGACCCTGCAAAGGCCCTTCGCTGTGACGTCCTCCAGCCCCGCGGCTCCGCAGCCTGAGAGCTCTTCCGTTTCTGAGTTCCTCCTTTTTTTTAAAGACCAGATAAACTTACCTTTAGGAGGGTTAAGGGTGCTGAAACGCATCACGCGTTTAACACATTGACTGCCGCACAGAAAGTCAGACACCTTTCCTGGGAGCCACAGTGGTTTTTTATTATGAAAATAGAATAAAAACTTCAAGTACAATTTAAAGGGAGGCACAAATAGAAAAACAAAATTTATTGACTTCTATTCGTTGAATCCACGTTTTCAGAATTAAATTGTCAATATTAATTGTAGCAACAAGAACATCAACAAGATTTCCTATATGCTTCACGTGGCCCCGGGTCAAAGCAGGAGTGAGGCAGATAGGACTCTGTGTTAAACCACAGGCCGGGCGCGGTTGCCCACGCCTGTAATCCTAGCACTCTGGGAGGCCGAGGCGGGCGGATCATTTGAGCTCAGGAGTTCGAGACCAGCCTGAGCAAGAGTGAGACCCCGTCTCTACTAAAAATAGAAATAAATTAATTGGCCAACTAAAAATATATATAGAGAAAAGTTAGCCGGGCATGGTGGCGCATGCCTGTAGCCCTGGCTACTCGGGAGGCTGAGGCAGGAGGATCACTTGAGCCCAGGAGTTTGAGGTTGCTGTGAGCTAGGCTGATGCCACGGCACTCACTCTAGCCTGGGCGACAGAGTGAGACTCTGTCTCAAAAACCAAAAAACCAACTTACCACAGAGGAGAGCCTGGAAGATTGCTTAGTCCAGAGAGTAAAAACTGGGGAACTGTGCTTTAAATAAAATGAACATTGTTGAAAATTAGGAGGCTGTACTCAAAAATCCTAATTTCTTGCTTTTGTTAAACAATCGGATCTGATAACCGAAAGATCTGCACACTGACCGGTGGGGTGGGCTGGAGCGGGCGGCAGGTGTCCCCGCGGCGCTCCCAGGTGCCCCCGGCCTGTCTGCCTAGGTCTCTGCTGCATCACCTGTCCCTGGGTCGGACACCTGGGGAGCAGAAGAGTCTGAACGTGCTGAGGGAGGAGGCACATCTGTGGGAACGACTGTCACAGGCCAGCAGTGAGCCCTCCAGGTCAGGGCCCCCGCCCTCGCCCTGCCTGGGCTGTGTGTCAAGTCCAGCCACTTCTTTCCTCTGGCCTCAGGTTTTTCTTCTGTCAAAGGAGAAGACTTTGGCATATTCAGCAAGAGATGCCACGGTCCTAGTGGACGTCACCCATGGGCTTTCTGGGGCCTTCTGCCCCACGGTAAAGGCCAGCTGACTTCCAACGCCATAGATTGTTCTGCTGTTTGGGGACATCATGTACAAGGAGTCAAACAGTAGGTCCGTGTTTGTGATTCAGGCTGGACGAGAACCCAGCTCTGTCACTAACTTGTGGTGTGACCTTGAGCAAGCTCCCCTTAGGGGTTCAAATATCAGGCCACTGTGAATCCAAGGCACAATTCCCAGCTGTCCCAGTGGGGGAAACGAGGGGGAGAGAGGCCAACTGAATGTATAAACTTTTAGAAATGTAGATGGAGTAGACGAGTGTTGACTCACTTATTAGGCATAACCTATTTAAAACCAGATGTATAAAATGAAGTCTTTTTGGAAAGATCAGTGTTTGTCACATTTTTTGCAATCTCACTGTTCATTTGCATATTCAGTGTTTTTGTCATCATAAGAACTGCTCTTTTTTTTTTTTTTTTTTTTTTTGAGACAGAGTCTCGCTTTGTTGCCCAGGCTAGAGTGAGTGCCATGGCGTCAGCCTGGCTCACAGCAACCTCAAACTCCTAGGCTCAAGCAATCCTTCTGCCTCAGCCTCCCAAGTAGCTGGGACTACAGGCATGCGCCACCATGCCTGGCTAATTTTTTCTATATATATTAGTTGGCCAATTAATTTCTTTCTATTTATAGTAGAGACGGGGTCTCGCTCTTGCTCAGGCTGGTTTCGAACTACCGACCTTGAGCCATCCACCCGCCTCGGCCTCCCAGAGTGCTGGGATCACAGGCGTGAGCCACCGCCCCCGGCCAAGAGCTGCTCTTAATTGGAGTCACCCAGCAGTGATTGAGAGTGTGGGCGTCTCTGCCGTCTGAGTGGTTTGAGACACGGCGCGTTCTGAATCTCGCAGCGACGTTCTCCCTGCCGTCAGTGCCCGTTCACAGATACGAAGGTAGCTGGCGACCTCCACAACCTCTAACTACACATACATTTCTTTGCCTTTTTCTTTTTGTTCTTTACTGATTTCATCAGATGAGTATGTGTAATAGCAGCTCTCAAACTTACTGGTCTCAGGACCCGTTGGCACTGTCAGAATTAGTGAGGACCCCAAAAGGGCTTTTGTCCATGTGGGCTGGTGTTCATACTCACCCACGTTGGAAATCGGAACTGAGAAACTTTTTGAAATACTAATTCATTTAAAAATAATGAGCTCATTACATGCCAACATCAATAACATTGTGTGAAAAATGTATTTCCCAAATAAAAACTTTGGCAAGAAGTTAGTATCTGTCTTCAAAACCAGATGGGTTCTCACGTCCGCCTCTGCATTCAGGGTGTTGCAGGTGGAGTTGTTTGATTGACGCATGCGAAGGTCTGTCCTCACACAGACATGTATTTGAGAAAGAGGACAGAATATTGAATAGCCTTTTCAGATAGCTGTGAAGATACTTTGACACTTCACCAAAACTCAATAAGCGTATTTATGTTTTATACGCTAAGGCGTATAAAACAAGCATTTCAAAGGTTGGATGCGGTGTGGAATCCAAAACCCTGCCCCTGACTGTTTCACACGCGGGCACGGTAAGAGCCACCGCCCTGT